TAATAAATCGGGTATTTTTATTTTTTTTAAGAAAAATGAATTGAAAAAAATAAAGAAGGCGAGAAACGGCAATGATTAGGCAAAAAATAACTAAAAATATTACTATATTTAGAAAAATTACATATTTATATTTTAACAATAAAAAAATTCTTTTGTTTTTAACAATTCATGATACAAATAATTTTTTAAATAATTGTAACCTAATAAGATTGATAAACATGTTTTTAATGCATACTAGTTAATTATATCAAAATATTTATTCGCCATTAATATTTTAGAGTATTTGACCGTATTTGACCGGTCAATTGACCGACATGCCAACCCTGTTTATTATATCAAATTTTTTTTAAATTTCATGTAACGTTCATATATTTTTTAAAATCATTTGAGGTTTAAGTTTATATTTTAATACAAAAGTATATATAAATTCAAAACACGATAATTTATACGCCTTCTATAATACCTTATAAATTTTTAATATGGAAACGTTATAATTGATTATAGTTTTTCAATATCGTGTTGAAACTCAAGATTAATCTAATCTAAGCACTTTGGTCTAGGACTTGCCCAAAATGAACTAACGTTATTTTGATATTTAATAAATAAAAAAACTACTTTTTTAAATAATAATTTTAGTATATATCAGGGATGCTAATTGTAGATAAGTTCAGATATTGATATATTTTAGACCTCATAAATTAATAGATGATTTTTCTCGACTCTCTTTAAAGTTCACAATTTTTTGAATCTTTCAATAAAATCATATTGAATAGTATTACATATGTTAGTATTTATGATATTTTTTCGTATAGTAGATAGTATATCTACTATGACCATAAGGTATAATTATATCAATAATATAAATAATTTTAATTACTTCAATATAAAAATCTTTTAGACGAGTTTGTTGAACCCTTGTTATTTTTTTTTCTTGGAAAGACTTGACATAAGCTGTTACCTTATATTTTTTTAATTTTTCTAATTTAAAAAAAATTCCATCTAAAATTTAAAGATTTGGATTTTATTCAGAGGAACTTTTGTTTATAATTATAATTTCACTATTTTTCCTCACATGAATGTTAGTCATCATTCACATTATAAAAGATATATAATGTTACTATTCTATTCAGTTTATTAACATTAATATACAAAATATATGCTTTTGTCTTAGTGTTGTTATATCTATCATGATGTAGGTAAATTTAAGTTGATTTTTGTTGTAGGGTAGACCGGGGTTATATTGTCCATTAAAAATTGAAGTGCTATAAAAAAATAAACGAAGCAATTTTTCAAAAATGCTGTAATCTAGTTTTATTCTTTACATATATTTCTACCGTATAAATTAATATTTAAGAAAAAAATTTTTCGTTTTTAATTAATATGAAATGTAAAAAAAGAAAATTTAAGAATTATAAAAAACACCCGGTGTACTATATCCTTTCGCGTTGCGTGTTATAGCGCATCTTTATTTGTAGATTTTTAAAAAAATGTATAAAAATGTTAATTGTTAGTAAATAAATAAATCATCAAATAGGTTAAATTTATTAGGTTTATCTATATTACATGTACCACCCGGAAGAACTTGTTATTAAAACTGTAACTTAAAAAAAAATCAATATCATCATATTTTCATTCATGGCCCTAGACAAACTATTGGCTTCTAATGTTTTTATAAATTTAGTTGGATTTTTTTAATTCAAAATAATCCCTGCTTAAAAATGGCTAATACGTACCCCTCCAAAACCTGCCCTAGTCTATTCAATTGATTAAAATTTAAAATATTGTCAATATTTTTATTTTTGTATATGAAAAAATGAAGATTTTTTTATCATTTAGAATTATAAGTTTCAACAACTTTTATAAAAAAGGTTATTAGTGAAATGTAAAATTTTAAAAAGTTTCTTTTGATGTGTTCAAATTTAAATTTTCATTTAAAATTTTTCATGAGCAATTTTGTCCAAAAATTTTTTAGACCTACTTAAGCCCCTTATTAAAACATATTTGGCTTAAATTTTAATTCTCAAAGTTTATTAGTTTTTAATTAATTTGAGAAGTAAATCCCTGCCCCAGGAACACACTATCTCCGGTCTCCCGTATTCTGAATTATCCCGATATTTTTAAAATATGACGACATGAAAATAAAATGAAATATATATAAAAATTATCTATATCTTTTATCGTGAAAAAGATACAAGATTATTTTGAAAATGAAGTATTATCGATACAGATATAAGTATCTTATTAAAAATTAAACAATATACAATAGACTCTTGTATCTCAGATAAAAGAATTCGTGGTAATGCTCAACTCTAAGTATATGCTTTTAATTTATTAAAGGCTACAAAATGTCAAAAAGAGTTTAGTTCCTTCCTGCCCTGAATAGTTTAACTTGATTATTTAAAATTCTTAAAACATATAGCTAAAATGGAATGTTTTTTTCTTTCATATTTTTTATTTTTTAAATCAACAATGTTTAGATAATAAGAAACAAATATTATCTTTAAAATAATATTTAAGAAAATTATAAAATTGTAATCACACTATTTATTCTTAGATAAAATATAAATATATAATCATACAAGTTGATTAAAATTTAAATATTCTTATCTTTTTTATATTTCCTTGTGTTCGTGTTATTGAAATAATCAATTTTTTTTTATAAAAAACAGAATTTTTTGACTTAAACTTTGTAAAGATTTTTTTTTAGAAATATGTATCAATATATCGGATATTCATTTTTAATATTTGTAAGAAAACTTTAAAAAATAATTTAATTTAATGTAATGTTTATGTCTTTTAAGCTTTAAGACATATTCGTGCAAACGGGTGAACAAGTGAATTGTAATTTAAAAAATTATAAATCTTAGATAAATTATGCTTAATAATACATAATCAATTCTTTAGTAAAAATTTATATATATTGGTTTACTATGACAAATTGTGTAAATATTATCTAATTCATATTCTCAGCTGCATATTGACGAATACTATTTTCATTTTTTTTAAAGCTTAAGTAAGTTTGAAATTTATAAAGGGCCTCTTAAATCATTTTCGAATCCACCATTTTTTGATTAAAGTAATCATCGTGCCAGCATTGTTAATTTGGTAGCCTACTTTATTTTATAGAATTAAGTTGAGAACTTTATTGTCTATCAAAAGTTCGGAAGTAATAAATTCCATTTGAATAATAATAAATTTTAGTCAATCTATTTTATGGTTCAACTTTGCATACCTGTAACAGTTGCTACTTATATATTTTTCAGACAGCACCTTTTTGAATGAAAATAATTTAAAATTTCTTATTTAACATGAATATTGTATCATCACTATGACATATAAAAATAAATTTTGCAAAATATTATTTTTTAGTTTATCAATCTTTGCTTAATGTTAATGTTCTCAGACTCCTACACAGTTAGCATAGAGCATTTATTTTTTAAAAAATTAATCAATTTCTTAAATTATTAATGATAGAATGATGTTAAGATTGAAACCCACTAGCAAGAAATCTGAAATAATTTTAAAATACTCAATTTTAACAAGTCAAAAGAACATAGATGATTATGATATTAATCAGAGTAAAAATAAAACCTGAAAGTTCTGAACCTTAGATTAGGAGGTAAGGTTGTTACAAATTTATAGAAAGTTTAAGCTCCTCGGTTTGCTCTATTTTTTTTTTCGCATCTAAGATGATAAGGGAAAAATACTTGAATATAGTCCTCAATGGCTAAGAAATAAAGGAACCCGTTATTATTATAAATTTAAAATGGTCAATAAAATATTAGTACGATAAACTATGGTTTAACATGCAGTGACACATACGTAAAGAACTTTCACCCATCCATTAAATGGGTTCAGATTTTCTAGTAAAATATTATTCAACTAAATCTATTCATATATATGCAAAGAATAGATTTGTTCTATATTTTGTTGTTCATGCATAAAATAAATATATAAATATGAAAATATGTCTAGGTAATATCTAGACAAGATACATAATGTCAAATAATCCATATTGATTGCTCTAAAAGATTACATAAATATAAAAAATGGTCATTAGAATATTTAATATCAATAAACTTAAAAATTTTATATGGTATATTTTTTTCTCATATAAATAAATAATGTTATTTTTATGCCTTTGCTTACATGCAACAGTTCATACAGATTATTTTTTAGGCTGTAAATTTTAATAGGAATTTATAGTTAGATTTTAATAATAATATTATAAACAATTAATAATTTTCGTTGGAAAATAAAATATGTCTGATCATTAATGGGGTAGTGTTAGCACCGTGAATAGATATTTATATCATCTTCAATCCTCAAAACATAGTTTGCCCACCTATATATCCTAGGGATTATTTGCTTTCTGCTTGAATAGATAAATCAGTTAATGTTACTGAGAGTCACTAATTGTTCTCTAAACTGTGACTCTATAAGTTTTAAGCTGTATTTTCAAGGATGTCATCAAAAAAATTACTTTTTGTTCACTCACATCATATATTTTTTTAAAAGCTTGTACAGGTGATGCTTCAATCCGTATACCTGAGCCCATTAAAACCCCGCATGATATCAGTCAAAGAAGTTACCCCTTTAAAATGTGAAGGCTCAATGTTTCAGAGCGGAATTTGTAAGCCGTGCCCTAAAAGTTACAAGTTTTGTTCGAAAAATATGCAGAGCGTTAATTGTATGGCAAACGCTTGCGACATAGACATGTGTTTGACAATTTTGACTGATCAAAACGGAACCTTAGTACTTTGCAAATGAAACCTTATACGATTTTCCTATCCCTTTTACATTATTTTTATAACTTTTAAACAAAATATTATTAGTTAAAACTAAAAATTTATCTTTCTATTTATTTCTGAAAAGATTTAAAATGTTTATATGTATTTACGTCAATGTTTTTTTAAAAATTTATTATATCGAATATTTAATAAATAATTTATATGATAAATAATTTAACAACGTTTCCGAAACAATATTTCAAAAAAAATTTAAATATTTTTCAAACAAAACAATAAATTTCAATACATTATAATCAAAAATTAATTATAAAAAAGACTTTATTTTAATCAGATTGAGCCTAATTTGGTTTTCAACATAATGTCAAAATTTTCATCCTTGTAATCACAATCATTTAGCCAAAAGTCCTTAGAGGGTACACTGGAATTTCTCAATTTCTGTGCAATATTAAATATATATTTTAAACTTTTATATTTAATTAAATCCTATTATTAAATTTTTTTTTATATAATAAGTAAAAATATTTTAGTCAAAATAATGGATTGAAAATATTATTTAAAATTATGTTAAATCATCTTTAGGCCGCTTCCAAAAGATGTAAAAATGTAATCCTAAAACTTGAAAATTTTATCGAAAAACTTAATTGTAAATAAAAACCTGATCAAAACATATTTATGACATTTTAAAAAAAATTTAATTAATTTCCAAAACTAATTTCCTTAAAATTTTAAAACTTTTGAAAATTCTGAAACTTTTTAAAAGTTAAAAATAATATATATACTTCCGTGAAAGTGCCAGGCTGTCTGTAAAAGTATACGCTCCCAACTATAATAATTTGAGCTAAAATGAGGGACGTCATTGTCCAACCAAAATTATGGGCCCATCCCGGAAAACTGTAATTATCTAATTTATGTTCGCCTTGGGTGACGAGATCATATAACGAAGCTATCGCAATAGCCTAGATAAACATATCAAAAATATTATTAATGTAATAAAAATTAGTTTATAACGCCTCTGAAGTCTTGAATTCACGAAAAAACATACAATCATAATTTAAAACTTAAATCGAATTTTTCTTTAAAAGATAATTAGAGCAATATTCCTGCCCTTAATATTTAAAGAGGTATTTTTAAGTATATTATATATTAATCACCCTAGAAACATAAATGGTAATCTATTATATATTTTTTTTGGTATAATAAGGTATAATTTTACCAGTAAAATAATGGGACCTATGAAAAACCAGGTAGTGTACCAATACCATATTTGGGGTATTTTGCGACCTAGCATGACCTCGATGTCCTTTATGAATCTTTTGATACCTATTTTATATGAAAATGATTATAAGAGAAATATATTTCTTAGCCTTCAACTCTACTGATTATATACAAATTTTCCATAAATTTTTTTTATAAATATTATTTACCGTATATCCACATGATAGCGATAAGTTCTGCAGCCGCTATCATAATCAGGCAAAAATCTCCAACATAAAAGTTCACCAAATCAAATACATAGAAACCTCCCTTGTATACAATAAATTTTGAAAAAAAAAGTTAAAATTTGTAAAATAAATAATATGCAATATCAATTTGTTGAAAGTTTTTACTCTTCCTAAAACTCAGTATGGATTGTTTTTCAAGAGTTTCAAAATTTACCTTTTTTTATCTGACAAGTGTCTATGTGTTTATAATTTGGCAGATTTCACCCTCTTTAAATTTCTTGGTGAATAAAGAAAGAAAATGAAAATTCTGATCAAGATTAACAACAATATCGAAATATTTATAATTTAAATAAAAATTAGATTTTAAAAATTAAATAGGAGGTCAATCCATTAATTAATCTCATGAAAATCTAACAATTAACATCAATTGGTTGACTTTCATAGTTTTAATGATGTTATAATTTCAAGCGAAAATTTTTTTTATATCGATAGTTTCGTTTTGAGGAGAATCAGTAAGCTGAACATATATTATCATGTAGGATGTTTTTTATAAATTTTATACTAAATTCTGGTTTTGATATAATAATTTGCTTATTCAATTGTTTTTATTTTTCAATCACAGCTATTTTAATTTAACGGATGGAAACAAATTTGAGCAAAGTTTATGAAAAAATTACACGACACGATTAAATATTTAAGCATCGTAGTAAAATAAATCCGGAATTATACACTAAAATTAGATATAAATTTTAAAAAAATTAAAAATTCATATAAACTTACGTAAGTTACCAATGGTAATCCCAGTAAGAAGCAAATGAAGCATAAAGCTAAACATAGGTATGTCTTATGTTTCCAAGGGAAAAGGTTTGGAAGTTGATCATGAATAGCACTGGTAAGGGTGGAAATTAAGGCAATCGAGCTATCCAACCCTAAGCTGTAAAGCATGATGAAAAAAAGGACGGACCATAGTTGAGGTATTGGAAGAGTGGAGACGGCTCGAGGATACACTATGAAGACTAAACCAGGACCTTAAAAAAGTTTGTGGGGAAGAGCAAATTTATTAAATGTTTAGAGTTTGAGATGAGTTAAATAATATAAAATCAAACATGTTACATTTTTGTATATCATTTTAAGATAATATTTCTGCTACTAGCGCGATCTACTTCAACTGTAATCACTAAAATATTAAAATTAGATATATTTTTATTTATTTCAATTAACACAAGTTTTTTAATACTATATTTGATACAAAAGTTACTCATATATGGAATTTATTATTTTTTAAATTTTAACAGATTTTATCCTTTTAAAGCTATATAATAATTAATTTTGATAATTAAAACTTATTTAATAAGTTGGAGGTGCCATCAATGTAACGTTCTTCTTTATTTAATCATTTTTTCCTTCTGATAAAGCTAGGTGATATCAATAAAATACCACTTATTTAATTTTTAATATTTATGATAAATTTTAATTATAATTTATTTATATTAAAACTTTTCACTAATAAAAACAAAAAATTATTGGCACTTTTTTTTCCACGCCTCAAAGGGTTAAATAATAGAGCTCCTTATTGTATTTTTGAAAATAGAATTAAAACCTGAGAGAGTTTCGGCGCCTTGTGCTAATGAAATATTCATATCCTGTGCCATATTTCCTAGGTAAGAAAAGATGACGGTTGCCGCCATCAAACTTGTTACGGTATCCATTATGCTCACTATCATGGCATCCTTGTAACAATTATTATGGAAGGGGTTGAAACTAGAAAACGTGGTTATACCCCCCAAAGCTAGACTCAAAGAATAAAATATCTGAGCACACGCTGACCTCCAGACCTAGAAATTTAATTTTTAAATGTAGCAAAATAATGAAATAAAATTATCTCCCTTTAATCAAATATAAATTTTTTTAAATCAATTAAATTTTGATTTGCATAAGCTTTATTTCTTCTTTCCTATTTACTTTTATATCCAATAGTTTTCTCCATTGCGGAGTGAATAGATATAAAATCCCCGCACGTGCACCGGGAAGAGTAGCTCCCCTAATGAGTAGAATAACTAGAAGCAAATAAGGAAGAGTCGCCGTCACATATATAACCTTTTAATTAATTTTAAAGAAAAAAAAATTTATACCAGTATGCGTTTATTAACTTTAAAATAATTGAAAAAATTAATGGCATTTTGTCCAAAAATAGAATTGGCATTTGGACTTAATGTCAGTGTTACTCCATTTTTTTATGTAAAGGAATTAGTTAGTATAATCTAAAAAATAATTCTTCTAACAAATATCTTGCCCTTCAAATCTACCACTGATATTTGATTGGACAGATTTCCCGAAGATAAAAATCGGCAAAAAACCTGGGCATAAAAACCCTGCCAAAAATATACTGAAAAAGAATCAGTCTAAAAAAAACTTTGGACAAAAATGCAACATAAGTAAAAAATAAAATGCCGAGACTAAAAAAAATTGGTACAATTTTGATAAATTTTTTAAAATGCTTTAAGAATATTATTAAAATTGCTAATTTAAAATAATAACATGGTAATAGATATTTTTTTGGGAAAGAAAAATAAAGGATTTTAAAAGACACAATATGGGCTAGGTTTAGTTTAAAAATGTGTAAAACTATTATCAGAATACATATTTACAGTGATTGACTTTTCCTAAATATATAGAAAGAGTTTTTTTATCCTATGTCTTTTTGTTCGGGTTCAGAATATTTAACTCCGGAAACATTTAATTATATATTTAAAATATCTATATTCGTTTTTTCAAATTCGAAATTTTTGTATAAATCATGCTAAATATATTTAACATTTATATCTATGAATATGTAAATTTTATGATAAAGATAAATAAGTCGAATAATATAAAGTTATTATTTAGACAAATTTATATAATTTCAAGAATAATTTTGTTTTTAGAGTTTTAAAGTAAAATCATGTCAAAAGCAAATAATTTAAACCTTTCCAGAAGTTTGAATTCCTTTGAAAAGCATAGCGAATACCAATCCCCAAGATAGAAAAAGTATCAAGGCTAGGTCCCATTTTATGGGTCCTATGTCATGTATGCCCGTTGATCTATCAAATCCCAACACTTTTATTCTAAATAAGATAATATATAATTTATTACAGTAAAATTTCTGTAATGACTTATGTTCCACATCCAAATAAAACAAAATAATGAGAAAACTTCCAAAATTCTTCCAATGATGACACTTTTCTCACTACAGTAGTCGATAAATTATTCATAGATGTAGAATTGGCGCCAATCATATGTGTCAAATTAGAAAAGTTGGATAAATTGGTCAGATTAGTTAAACTGGTTAAATCAGTGGCATTATAATTTGTCCAGCTTGAATTATAACCTTGAGTTGAATTATGAGCCATGGTGAAGGATTGGTTGGCAGAATCTTGATACCTTGTTAAGACTACACAATTCTCCGTATTGAAAGACTGGGTTTTTTTTTCAAGGAAAAATCGAAGTTTATTTTATGGTCATAAAAAAGATAGTTTGAAAATTGAAAAAAAAGAAGTATTTGGGAATGATAATTAAATGTAATTATTTAAAAATTAATTGGTGGATCCAAAAAAAACTATGCATAACAAAATTATAATAATTGTTCATTGAAGCCACCATAAAGATTGGTTCTCATGTAAAGAGATAGTAAGATAAAGAATTGGGTTTTGGACCCTAATAAAGACGAATAATCTATTTATATTTTAAAATGGAAACCTTATTAGATAAAGTTCTCATTAAAAGTATAAAATTTGTAATTTATACGAACAGCATTTATCATATAAGTTTTATTTACATTGTTGCAATGAGACCATGGAAGATGTCTCTGGAAAGAGGCGAAGGTATAATAGAGAGTGTAGACCATCAGAACATTGTAGTAAATGCAAATAATTAGACAGGTGAATAACATGGCATAGCCCACTCCTTAAAAATTAATTTAAAAAGGTATATAAATGGTTGAATTTCTTGGAAAGTAACGACAAAATACTGATTAGTTTTTTAGTTACTTTTTATTTTTGTGTACAATTTAATATGACATTTTGGAATTCCCTTCAAGAAAATTTTTTCTTTATTTAAATTATATTTTAATTACTTTGATTTAAATCACAAATAATCTTGTATAATACTAAAATTATACGATGAGTTATTTAAATAAAGGAAATGATAAAGTGTGTTATAATGTAACTATTTACTTTTGAATTGTACTTATTTCTAGTATATTACCAAGATGATAAAATAAAAAGCAAATTATCTTATCAAGAATGTAACTTGTAAAATATCCTTACTTATTTTTAGCTTATTCTATCTCCTTAATCTATAATAATATTTGATATAAATACCATTATTATGATTCTAAGGCCAACTCCTGTATTTTGAGATCTGCAAAGCTCGGTCTGTCCTGCCTGAAAACCTACCCGCGGGGCAGGTTAGGTAATTTTTTAAAAAAAATAAAAGAGACATGCCTTGCAATTATTTATAAAGGGCCGGGGAAGTTGTTCATAAAAAATCTCCGGACCGAGCTTGATAATTTATGTAGAGTATCGGAAATCTTTGATATATCGTAATTTTTTGAAATATTTTCAATTTCACGCTATTTGATTTTTTATAATTTGAAAATAAATTACGATATGTTGATTGGCTAACTAAAATATTAAATCAATATAGTAAATTAACAAGAAATTAAACAAGTTATTTATGATATGTTCTAATAACAATATATAATACAGTATCAAACAATTTATAACGCTTGTTGTAGAAATAGATAACAATAGAGGATAGATATAAGTTCCTTTAATGATATTGGAAAAAAAATTAGATATAGATATTTAAAATGTGATGGCCAGAAAGTTCAAATAAAAAAATTTGAGAGGTGGCTAGCTTTTATTAAATTATAACAATTTGGCGACCTGACATTTTGTAAATTTTGGACATGGCCAGGTTATGCAAAATTTTTTAACGGGCCGAAATGAGACAGGCCGGCCTTGCAGACCTCTACCGGTATTTACTACCAAAAAATATTTATATTATTTATATTTATTTTTCTAAAAGTAAAAGGATCGTTTCAAATCTTATACTAAATCTTTTTGCAAATCTAAATGGCGCCTTCACCAAAATGGGAGGATATGACGCAAGATTCATTAAAATTTAAAATGGTTAGAAGTTATGATTTTTTTTCTAATTTTAATTTATATATTTTTTTTAAGATTTTCTTTTTTTATTTAGGGGAAGAGGGAGTTTATTGGCTTGGGGGAGGGGGGGGGCTAAAATAAACAAACAGATATTTAAAATAAATAATAATTCTCTTAATATGTCTTCCCATCTGCATACCTTAATCGGCTGCCTTCCTAGGAAGACTTATGCTTTTTATTTCCCGACCAAGGGTTGGCCTCTAGTCTAGAGGAGCGTAGCAAACTAGTAATATGATAATTGATATAATTACATTATGCGATGCTCATTATCATGATCATCGATTTATTTATTGTTTACCCATAGCTATAGGAACTATTTTAAAAGCCCCTGGAGGTCCTTGGCGGGTGAATTGCCCTAGAGCTAATTCCATGAAGTATAACGGCTTTCCTATCAAGATGAGCATTATGATGTATGGAATTAGAAAGGCTCCTACGTTTTAAATAAACCAATAAATTAGATTGGTTTTATTAGTATAATTTGAAATGTAAATTAAATCTTAATAATTGAAAATAAAGACTTTTCCTGAAATTATTGAATGGCAAATTTATCAATAATATATTTGATTAAATATTTAAAAAAGGGAGGGGAGATAGGCAAGATATTTATCTATTTTTTAAATAAATTTATGTGGACCGGTAATATAAATATATAAAAGCAATAGTTAATGGGAACAACAAAAATATTTAATTAAAAATATCTAATGCTATATATAAGGTAAACTGTTGGAAATGCAAGATATTCTTATTAATAACATAAATTGAGTCAATAAACTATGTAAAAACGACAAAATCGATACTCACAAAATTAATAAGGAAAAAGTTTTTTAGTTTAATAATCAAAATTAAGATTAAATTATATAGGTTTATTTTTTATTTGTAAAATAGCATTTTTTACTCTAAAAATTGATATCACAAAGGGATCATAAAAAATAAATTTAAAAGGGAGATAAATATGTTGTAATATCTTTTCTTATAAATAATCTAAATGAACGAAATAAACCTCCACCGTTGTCATAACAAACATAAGGGAATCTCCAGATATTTCCGAAACCGATAGAAAAGCCTATGATAGATAATATAAACTCCATATGGTTACCCCAATGGCCCCGATGGTCCTTTTCATAAACATCCTGGCTCATTTCTAAATCTTCACTTTTTTCTTGCTATATGAATATACAATTTTTTTTTTTTAAATTAATAAAAAAATGGAATGAAATGAAATGAAAATCCACCTTTAGAATCATATAGCATAATATAAAGTTTTAGATGACATAAAAATCGATTAAATAGTAGGAGAAAACAATATTATTTAAAAAAAATACTTCAGCCAACCAATTTAAATTTACTCTTATTAAAAAATTTTATATTTTCTATAAACTTTCGACTTCTCATAACCATTTTACCTTTAAATCATTTTAAAGAGTGATTAAAAAAAAATATCTAAGACTTTTCTTGATATATCCAATTTATCGCTGAAGCATATTGTAAGATAATTTAGGTAGTAATATATTTACCATGCTTGGGATTTTTTTTGAACAAGATTTTTCGTTTAATGTCATATTCGCGGCTTGTGAGGGAATGACTCCTATATTGGGTGAAGAAAAAGGTGAGCCTGCGTTTACAAATTTTTATTTGATCTTTGAATAATTTATCTAAAAATATTAATTATTTTTTGAGAAAAATGTTAAGGTGTTGAGAAAAATTATAAGTATGAAATCACTCATAATTTTGCTTCTAAAAACTACAAACATCTTTTAATAATTATTTCTAAATTGGTAAGTGTCAAAATAACGTCATCAAAATCGAAATGGGAGATTTATTATTTTAATTTTTAGAATAAAAATTTACATACCCCCCCCCCCTCCCCCATCCACAATTATATTAATTAAAAAAATATTATTTTGCATTTTAGATAAAATTTAATTAAAATTAGAAAGTTAAATTCCTCGTTGTCATATTATGTATTATTTTCTTTATTATGTCTAAAAATAATATCAAATAAATATTCAGGTCAGATAGCGGATGACATCCGCTCTGAAAAATGAATAAACCTATTAAACCAAAGAATTCACGCCTAAATCAGAAGATATTGTATATAAACATGAAGCTATAGATGTAAAAAAATAAATTTGAGCCATGAATTAAGGTAAAATTTAAATATATTTTTCCCAATTAAAACCTAGAAAATAGCTTAATTTTATTATATTGTATATTTTAATCGTGTTCAGAGAAAAGCAGTGCTACAATAATTCCAGAGGAGAATATTAGGAAAATGGTAATGATGCGAGTCAATTAGTATCACATGGTAATATTTATTATGACTTTAACTTTATTTAAGTTATAAAATATAAGTGTATTATGTTGTAATAGACACAATGACTATGCAATTTGATGAACGTTGCATGCATAAAAAATGATTTGGAGTTTTATTCCTTTTATAAGTTAAACTCCAGTGAATTTTTCAAAGTATTCATATTTCAACCAATCAATTTACATTACGGCCAAATCCAATGATATCCTTTGCATAATTATAAATTTTTATAACGATATTTTTATATTATTTAACTCCTAGTGCTAGTAAATTTGTAGACGATACCGCTTTATTTTATTTTACCACAGTTTTTTTTATGATTTATCTGCCTTTCCAATTTATTAATTTTATGTAAATATATTAATCTTCCCATCTATACATGGTCGATTGTTTGCATCATAGTGTTCTATCAGAGTTTCAGCGTTATTAATTTTATTTATTTTTTGTTAATTAAAATGATACTTTACATTGTAAAAGGATGATTTAGCATAGCTTTGACGACTGGAATGCCCCTATCTTTTATAAAATTATAATCCAAAAATATCTTACCCATTCCTGAATTTATAATTTTAAACAACACTAATTCAAAATATTTTAGAGTAAATAAATCATAGTTGTGATAATATTATTTCAAGAACATTTTAAAACCCCTAATCTTCCCTCACTCTCCTTTACATTTAATTAATTAAAATGAAAACTCAATCCAAAGCGGGCACGTTAAAATAAAACAACATAAAAAGAATGTCTCATTGTTTCACTTACTATTATATTAATTAAAATTTTTCACCTAACAGTTAACCTGAATTTTTTCGTTGCCATGTTTAAACGTCTAAATAAATTTTACATTTATTAATAATTACTTTTAAACAACAAATACCATTTGCAATATTTAAAAATTTATAACCTCATTTGGCACCTTCCGAGTGGAATAAAATAATAATCATTATTATTTAAAAAGAAAAATAATCATTACCTTTTCTTTTTCTGGGATTCGATCTAACTATTGATTGAAATTATTTATCAGAAGATAATTCTTGCATTTATACACAATAAATTAGTGGGTATAAGAATCATTTAAAATTTTAAAAAATTTTTCTATATAAGATTATTTTAATATTCTTAAAATTCTGAAATTAAAAATGTAAAGTAATTTTTTATAAGAATCTTTTAATATATTCTAAATATTAATAATGTCATTTTTTTTGAAATATTTTTTTTTCTTCCTTTTTGGATGTATTCCAATTTTTATTTTAAAAATATTTTAGATAATTATTTCTAAAAATTTTCCACCTTGGAATAATTCAATTTAATAAATATGATGAAAATTATGTCCAAACCAAATGATACAAGTGAAAAAAGGTGGAGTTAATATAACCCTTAAAGCCTCAAGCCAATTTATTAATAAAACGTAGAATAATTTATCTAAAAAATTTTTAATTTAAAGGGAATAATATTGCATCATTACTTCTTATCTATAATACATTTTTACGATAAATGTATTAATAAATAGTGACTTTGCTTATATGTAGATATTTGAAGGTGGTATATAAGGTACATTAATTAGTAGCTCTCTTAAATTTATAAAAGGTTGACGTGTAGTGGGAAGGGGGGATTCTAGTTTAAATCGCTAAATCAAAAATAGCAATAAAAATGAATTTTCTTTATAACTGTAGTAATTCTTAAAGCGATATTGGAAATAGTATTATAGATGCTATAAATTGAGTTTTTTTAAAAAAATGTGGGAAAACGCTTTAAATGTTTCCAAAATTACCAAATTAAGATCTTCATAATATTTCTCCATTTTTATCGTTTTTTTAAATTAATAAAAATATAAATATTACCTACCCTAGCATCTATTAACAATATTTTAAATATCTAAAAATATTCTAGGAAATATAAGTAAGATTCTCAATTCTCATTGATTTTATTTTCACTATTCAGAATATATTCGGAAGCGCAAAGAGTTCTTTTTATAGGTATAATTATATATATAAAAATTTGAACTTTTTTCTTTAATCAAGTTATTGTATAATTACAGAGCGCATTTTAAAAAAATAATTATTCATTTAAACTTATTGAACTTTTTTTCACTTCCCAATCTTTTTATTGCAAATCCTCAAAATTAGCAAACAGGGTTGATAACTTTATAGCCTGATAAGTTATTATAATCACTTTGTTTAACATTATTTCCTTAGGAAAACAAAAAAATTTATATATAAATAGGATATACTGCATAAATTATAAATATTTCAAAAATATTTTTATAAAGGACATAGGTATATTATCAATGTCTCCTTTTATTTTAATTTATCAAAACTCCTCTTAACAATATTTATGATAAATGAACGTAATAATGAAAAATTGCCAAAATATTTCAGTATTAAACTTTATATTATAAAAATAGATATTTTATGAATATTTTTTTAGTTGTTATTGTAAAGTATATATTATACACTAAAAAAAAATTCGTATTGCCTTTTTATAATGGAATATTATTCTTCTAACATGGGTAAATATATCTGTTGTGTGATGTTTTATCCAAACACATCATAATTTTAGGTCAAAAAAGGAAAGAAATAATAAATATTTTAACGTGTGATTTTGAAGAAGGTCTGGCATTTAAAATATCTTAATTTTAAAAAATAGTTATTAATATTAAGGATGTTTCTTTTTTAAAATATTTTATCAGATTGAAGGATGTTGGCTTTCAGATTCCTATTTGACTGTATAATATTTTTTTACAAGTTCCTGTGACTATAGCCCAAATACCAACACTAATGCTTCTTTTTTCTATGGCAGCTACTTCTCGTCTGCTATGTAATGGTTTAGGCAGGGCAATGGCATATAACTGCTCTTAGCTTTCCCATGATGGGGGCCCCATTCCAATACTTATTAAAAACTGGTTCGCTTAACGAATTAATTTATCTTAGATTGGCATCTTTTTTATTTTAGAGTACTTCTGGTGGCATATTTATCATGTAACATATTCCTTTAAATTTTTTACTCTTCCTATTTCTTGGAGGGGTATAAAAATTTTAAATAAAGATCTTTGCATATAGTATTTTGAATAAGAGTAATATTATTTTAAATATTATTTTAAACCTAGTTCAATATCCATTAATACTATAAAATTACTTTTATTTATAATATTTCCTAAGATTTCTTATATACACAAAAATTATCTGTTCAATTTATTAATATTTTTTGTGGCATAGTTATGATCGAAAATAATACTCTAATAAATTTAACAGGTAAACACCAATATATCATATATCAGCCTTTGCAGTATATATTGCTTCTTAACATCGTTTGACGCGAAATAAACCCTTGATTTTGATAACATTGTTATTATAGGTAAGCGGAAAATAATTCCCCGGAAAAAAAACCGGAAAAAATATCCCCGAAAATAATTCCCTGGAAAAATATTCCCCAGGAAAATAATTCCCCGGAAAAAAATTCCCTGGAAAAAAATTCCCCAGGAAAATAATTCCCCGGAAAAAAATCCCCTGGAAAATAATTCCCTGAAAAAAAATCCCAGGAAAAAATATTTGCTCCATCAGAAAAATAATTAATTTTAGCCACTCTATTAAATCTTTCCTTCAAATTTTTTTTCCGGGGATATTTTTTCCTATATTGTTAATTTTATAAAAATAATTTAATATTTTATAGGATTTAAAAAATGGGGAATTTTTTTCCAAGGAAATTTTTTCCGGGGAATTATTTTCTATGGGAATTTTTTTCCGTGAATTATTTTCCAAGGGAATTTTTTTCCAGGGATTTTTTTCCGGAGAATTATTTACCTGGGAATTATTTTCCGGGGAATTTTTTTCCAGGGAATTATTTTCCTGGGGATTTTTTTTCCCGGGGATTTTTTTTTCTAGGGAATTTATATACGGGGATTTATTTTCCTAGATTCGTTATTATCCTAATTCCATTGACATTTTTAGTATTCTATTCAGGCAAATTAATATCAAATATTGTTTATTTGCAATCATTTTTTCTTATTAACAAAAAAGCTAAACAGAATTATTATTTTTCCTGGTAATTTATTCGTTTAGAAAATTTACACGGTATCCTTATTTTAAAAAGTTTAACTCAAATAATTTTCTCTTTTAAAGTGCGACTGTCTAAGGTTTCAGGACATTTTTTGGAATAAAGCATGACCTAAACGGCAATTTTGTTCGAAAAAAGTAGCTTAAGTGTCTGGTAAACAATTGGGATATAGACATGTGTCTGACAATTTTGGATCCGAACTGAACCCTAATTCCATGCAAATAATATATTTATCATTTTCTTATCCCTCCATATTTATTTACTTTTATAAAAAATTCATAGAATAAAATTATAGGCCATAATTTATTTGGGCAGTAAATTAATCATTTAATTTTTGATCTAGTAATTTAATAAATATGAATTATAAAAAAAATAAATCTTTAGGGCAGCAGTATTTATAAAATATTGAGCAGTAATAAAATTAAATAAATTTTAGTTATAAACTAAAATTGTCCACTATTAAAAGTTGTTTTTTTTATACAAATATCTCTTCTCATCAATTTCAGATATAGAGGCATTATTATTGTTAGCTATAATAGAATTTTTATTAACTAAAATAAGTAAACATCTCATATTTCACTACTATATGAAGATAAAATTAACATATCAAATACGAAAAAATCAATAAATTTAACATAAATATAGACTAGAAGGGATTATTTAATTGAATTTTTTAATGTTTCATCAAGGAAATCTATATTAAATTAATTTAAAAATGCTACAATATGATAACATAAAAATAATTTAAATAAGATAGAGCAATTGAATGCAACATCTTCCCTAATCATCTCTGTTTTTAGATAGTTTTACAAATCAGATTAAACTTTTAATAGATTCATTTTGATAAATTGTTTTCAATTTATGAATTTAGTTGGGTAATGGCCAAATGTCGGCTATTACATCTCAATCTTCAAGCGCTTGCCAAAATCCGTTAACATTATGGCGTTTTAATTTATATTAATTTCTTCCATATTTGAGCTGCTATCTTTTAGAAAAACTCCAAGATCAAAGTGATAATTTTCGGCTAAAAACTTAGTTATCATTTTTTAGCCTGTTAAAATTTTCTTCAACGGCTAAAAATATATTATATACCCTACTATATTTATGAGGGCTTGAATTCGTAATAAGATATTTTTATTTAATTTTGCCCAAATCATGAGCTTATTTTCTAAATAATTATTGGATTTATCATAAATTATTTTTGCATAGACCATTTTTATTTTCATAGCAATAATTTTGAAATGAGACAACTGTTAATATTTCCTTAAAATATTTTTATCACTAATTACCCTATTTCTTGCTTCTAATGCATTATTGGTACAGGGTGTAAAATGTTTAAAACCTTCATATAATGTGATTTTTGCTAATTGTTTTAATTTAATCAAGGACGATTATTTTTCATTTTTCAGTAAGTAATTCAGAGGCTTTATTAAAAAATTAATTAGTTTTGAGCTAATAGTAATCAGACGAATCTTAACAATAGTCCTCAGTTGATTTCATCATAGTTGAGCCTAAGTTACTCAAATCCATTATAAAAGTTAGCGGGCAAAAAAAATAAAAATTTTCCAAATTAAAAAATGAATTATTAAGTATTAACTTACCAAAGATTTAAATACCTACCAAATTATTTTTCTACTGCCTATTTTAATTTAAATATCCATATTGATTAATATTACTTTTCTTATTAAAAAATTGCCAGAATAATTTGTCGTTAATATTATATTCACTTAAAAACAATTTTAAAATAATATTTTGAATATATTTATCATAATCTTTTTTATAATTTAAGAATAAATAAAATACATATGATTTAAAAAATGTTTTATTTTGTTGTTTTACGTTAAAACTTATCAAAATCTGTATGGTAGAGGTAAAGACGTGAACTGAGAAGCACTTCAACTTTTGCTAAAATGGATTTGATATTAAAACGTGAGGCCCCTCCCCCTCTCCCGTGAAATCAAACGAATAATAAATATAATAGGGCTACATCAAAACACTAATTTTTTGAAGTTTTAACATTTTTTTGATAATATATTCAAAAACAAATAATGATCAAAAATTCATTTTAAAATAATC